AAATCTGTTAGGGCATGCCCCTTTATAGCAACCCTTGGCTTGAACACAATATCAAACTCCCTGAGTTCCACAGCCCACTTCAATAACTTTCCTGAAGTATTAGGCTTCTATAGCACTTGTTTCAGGGGAAAATTAGTTAGCACATGAATAGTATAGGCCTGGAAATATGGCCACAATTTTCGTGAGGTTGTCACCAAGGAAAGTGCTAGCCTCTCTATGTCTAGATAGCAAGTCTTGGTTGCCAATAGTGTTTTGCTTACATAATAAATAGGCAGCTAGTGATCATTTTCCTCTTTTATCAAAATCGAACCGATTGTCTCGATGGTTACTACCAAGTACAACTGCAGTAGTTTGTCAGTCTTTGGTTTGGAGAGGAATGGAGCAGTCCCAAGCGCTTCTTGAGTTCTTGTAGGGCTACCTCACATTCCTCTGTCCACTGGAACTTATTTCATCCATTTGGAATTTTAAAGAAAGTAAGCACTTGTCCGTGGCCTTAGAAACGAAGAGGTTCAACACAGTTATATATCCGGTGAGGCTCGCACCTCCTTTGGTTTCTGAGGCGATCGTATATTAATTAAAACTTTGATCTTTTTTGGGTTGGCTTCAATGCCCCTCTGGTCGACAATGTAGCCCAGAAAATTTTTAGAAGCAACTCCAAAGGCTCACTTTAGAGGATTGTGCCCTATCCTGTACCTCTTCAATATTTGAAACATTTCGCTGATATGTTTGACACGATCTCTTGTAATTAAGCTCTTCACCAACATGTCATCTACGTAAACTTCCATGGCTTTCCCAATAAAGTCAGCGAACATTTTATTGACAAGTTTTCGATAGGTGGCCCCAACATTTTTCAACCCGAAGGGCATGACCTTATAGCAATACAGACCCTTATCTGTTATGAAGGACGTGTGTTCTTCATCTACTGGGTACATTGGGATCTGATTGTAACCGGAATATGCATCCATGAAGCTAAGAAGTTCATGTTCAGCAGTTAAATCCACAAGTTGGTCTATCCGGAGAAGTAAGAAACTAACCTTGGGACACGGTTGGATCAAGTTTGAAAATCAACACAAACCCTCCACTTGCCGTTGTACTTCTTGACCAACGCTGGGTTAGAGACCCACTTTGGGTACACAGACTCCCAAACAAAAGGATTATCGATCAGCCTTTTAACTTCGTCCTTTAGAGCTTCATATCTCTCCAGATTGAGAGCTCTTCTCTTCTGCCCATGTGTTGTGGCATTTGGATCAATGTTCAAGTGGTGGCAACTGACTTTTGGGTCAATGCCGACCATGTCTCCGCGCTTCCAAGCAAAGATGTCCTTAGCTTCAATTGGCAGATGTCTTCCAGTCTACAGGTGTTTGGAGAGGTCATGTGGGTCTACTGGGATGCTCTCCAGTTCTTCCATAGGGACTATTTGAGATTCGCAATCAATGATACGAATGCCCAGCTCTTCTAAACTAGCGACTTCTTCAGCAGATCTCCCCTTTTCAAGGGTTGTATGTTCTTCACAGATAGCCTCTTTTTCAGAGGTACATATAACTCCAAGGATGGCTCATTCTTCATAGACATCCTTTATTTCTACGTATTTCCCTTGTTTAGAGATTCTCTCTTGTTTAAGGACGTCGGCCATGTCAATGTCTGTTGTAATCAATTTGACGCTTCTTGGTTCGGCTTTCCTTAGGGAATTCGAGTAACATTCTCTCACCCTCCTTTGATCACCTCTAACCATGGTTATATATTCTATTTCTATTTTCTATTAAATTCTTCTTCTACCAAATGGGTCACAATAACTATGTGGAGAATATTGAGGCTATGTTTGATGGTGTCGACTCCAACACGCCATTAACACCACAAGTGCAAATTCGACTATGTTTCCTATGTTCGATAACGTTCTCAGTGATCTTAATAACATCCTAATCTCCGTTGATTTGGGGGATGAAGATATGCACATGAATACTAATCCAATTGATTGGAATGCCATCGATGAAGAATAACTGCATGTAATAGACACAACCGATAAACGAAGAAAAACAAACTGCAGAGTGTTGTGAACACTTCAAATTGGTGACCACGTCTCTTCAAGTTGAAGAAAAGCCAGAATTCAAAGCGGTATATATGTATTGCAAAGTAAGACTGGCATGGCAAAATGATATTGAAACTACCCATCTAAATAAACATTACAAGAAATGTTTGACAAAACATGAAATTATGGATCATATACAGATTCAACTCCAATTTGGTTCTTCTAGTTTCGGTAAAAGTTCTAGTACACTAGACACGTGAGCCTTTTCAAATGAGATGTTCCATTAGGATTTGGTCAAGTTTGTAGGAAGTTCTGAACAATCATTTAGAATGGTGGAAAACAAGCAATTCACCAAATTCATACAAAACTACTAGAAGCACTTTTCATTCTGAGTGCATTAGTTTTTTTTTTCTCCTAACAAGAAAGAAGTCGCTTATACATCATTTACATAAATATGATGGTGTTATATTTTTTACATCTACCTTGCAAGAGGGTAGTAATAAAAATGAAAAAAAAACTATGTAGTTGCAAATGTTCACTATATAGACCTATTATGAGTAATTAGGGATGATAAAAAAGCTCGTCGATTCGGGTTTAGCCCGGAAAAAGCTCGTCGAGTCGGGCCTGGCTCGGGCTCGGTAACATCGAGTCGAGGCTTGGGCAGAGCCCCATTTTAGGGCGTCGGCTCGAATTCAGGTCGGCCCGTCGCCCGGGTGAGCCTGTCCATTAAAAAAAATTAAAATTAAATTTTTTTAAAAGAGCTACCCGCGATTATTAGATGCCTGCAAAGGCTGCCTGAGCAAGCAGCCTTCAATATAAAAAAAATCAAGAAACTCGAGCCAGCTCGGCCCGAGCCTCTTTTTTTGGCCGGGCTTTGCTCAGCTCAGCCCAAAAAAGCTCGAGTTGAGCTCGAGCTTTGTTTTTCGACTCGGCTCGTTAACATAACTATAAGTAATGCATGAAAAAATTATTGTTTTTAAATTAATTGAAATTTTTTCATAATGTTACTAATATATTTAATGTTATTATAAGTAGTATTAAAAAATATCGTTGTGCGAGTAAATTGCATCTGTTAATAAATCGATAGTTGATAAATTATGTTGGGTTCTTAATCCTGATTTTGGTAATTTTCTTTTTCATGTTCGACGTGTTTGTTATATTTTTAATTTAATTATGCAAGATGAGCTAAAACGCATTAGTGTACGTGTCAAGAATTAGGGATACACTAATATTTATTACAATATCACCTATTAGAAAACAAGTTTTTGAAGAGTTTTGGTTTTGCTTAGGGTTAGTGTTCGATTTTAGGAGTTTTGATTTGGCCAAATATGTTCCCAATTCGGGGATTTTGATTTCAAGATTTTAGAAAAAAATCGTGTGTTAGAAAATATTAATAAAGCAATGACATCATTCATTTGGGTGTTGTTTTTTTTATTCGGATGGATATGTAACATCGTTGAGATGCTATGTCTTATTTCCGTCGAACATATGACAATTTATGTGAGAATCAATTTGACTTCAGTAATGAACAGAGCACAATTTTTAAATAAATGAATGAGTTTTTTTTTTTTTTTTTTCTTTCATTGATTTCTCTAAAAAAAAACCATTAACAAAAGCGCCACTTCCCTCCCCTACTCGACTAGGAACCTTTTCTTCTCTCTATACGTAAATACATGTAAATGTACACACTTCCTCGCATCACCTACAATCTTTCTCTCTGAGTCTCTCTGCTGTAAACGTACGCTGACGTAACGCAAGTTTGTTTGTTTCTACACGGCGAGGGTATAGATGTATGTTGTTATAACAACGCACATAGTCACATGATTCGTGTTTGCAATTTTTGTATTAATTTTGGGTTTGAGTGAAAAGGTGATATATACGATTGGGAAGATAAGAATGGAAATTTATGTGAATTACATAGGTTAAAAATAAATTGTGAGGTGTTCAATATGTTTGATTTGACTAGAATTTTTAATTCGGCACAAGTTTCGGATCTCTGTGGACCTCTGTAATGTTCCATTCTTCATTTTAGGGTTTTTTGGTACGGCTCAGTATCACTCCCTGCTAGAGCAGCACTTGAAATTCGACTGGTGGGTTCTCTGCGTTTTTTCTCCTCGCTGTAAGATTTAATGGTTTAAATTTTTGTTTACTTTGTTAAATTTGTTTCCATACTTTAATTCGTGTTCTTATTTTGTTCTATTTTTTGATGGTTGATGCATATATTGGTTGTTTTGAAGATCGACGCACTGTTTTATCGGATTGGTAGTTTGAGTTCAAGAAGAGCTTTGAGAAGCTCTAAATTTTAAAGTAACTCGAATCGGGGAATATTGGGCGAAAGGTGAGGATTATTTATTTTTTTTAAATGTAAAGTGGTATGTAACTGTTCTTTACATGATGATTGATAAATACAGTTTAAGAAAGAGAGAATTCCAAATTTATTTTTGGTTTGGGATTTAATTTTGGGAATAATTGTCCATTTAACACACCGTACACAGACTAAAATTTGTTAGAAACTAAGATTAGTGAAATATCTTTCTTTTATTTTCCGACTTCTGTCTTTTTTTTGGTGATTGTGTTTGTCATCGATGGTTGTTTTTCTCAATGTTATAGCAAATTGAGAGCTAGAAATCATTGTTTTTAACTTTTTAAGGATTTATATTTTGTTACTTGTTTGGACCGATATTTTTTCTAATTGTCCAACTCCAAAAAAAAAACCTTAAAGCAACATCTGTCACAAACTTTTAATGCTTTTATATGTGAATCTGCATTTTATGTTGGCTCTGGCAGAGGTGAGTGTGGATATATAGTTTGGTTGTTGTCCTCGTTTGAATTTGATGTGTAATTGTGGACTTTTACTTATAGTCCCAGTGGTAAACTTATGCTTGGATTATTTTGCTCTTTTTCTTGCTACCAGTGACATGAAAGTTGGTTATCCATAAGAGTTGTTAGTTCTTTTTTCTGCGGCTGAGAAAGAATGGGCTCTGCTTGTTGTGTTGCTGCAAGGGATAGAACTATAACAAACAGATCGGCAAGTGAAGTTTTGCAAAGGAATGTCAGGTATTCACCATCATGGAGCTGTCGATGGGATAATCGTGGACGAGTATCTGTGGAAGAGACATCTGTAAATCGGTTGCTCGATGAAGGTGTTGGCAAACATCGTTTGGATGTCAAATCTGGGACAACTATAGAAACTGCCTTCGCATCTGAAGATGGTAGCTCATTGGATAGTTTCCGGTCAACTGCATGGCAGAAGTCCCCAATTACTGATGGAAATGCTGGGATTTCAAGGCTTCCATCATCTGGTAAATTCTAAAAATCAGTTCCCAATTCTTTTTAAATCAAATTATGATAATGAAGAAAATTTATTAAAATGCATTGCGAACTTCTCAAATCCAATTGCCAACAATTCCCCTCTCAAGTGGCAGAAGCACAATATACTGTCTGTTTTGTTTATGCTTCTCAGTTATTCATCCAACTCTTATCTGGGTTTATTTGACATGGTTATTGGTCCTAGTGACTTTTTTTTTTCACTTTGCAGTTTGTGTAAAATACAAATGAACTGTTCACTCGAGGAAAAAAGGGAAAAGAAAGTTTGAGTACTATGTTCCTCCTTTCCACAATTGATGTATGGAAATCATAATAAGTTTCTTTTTCGACCCCTGTTTGATCCACATTCTTCCTAAAATTCATTCTTTCAATACTCATTTTCAACCACACATTCTTCAATAAAATAATATTACATGCAACTCCAAAACTTTTCCTTATTTTTTAACCACATATTTTCCTTCACACCACATCATAAAATGCATTTTCTTCTCAATAGTGTGCATCAAACATATAGCGAGTCTAATTTCCTCTTCTCAGTGATGATATATGTGGAATCATAAGAACTTCCTTTTTTCCAGTTCATTTAGTGTAGATACACTTCATCTTACATGATTATGAATACACGAACTTCATGATTAGAATGTATTTACATTATGATTCATGCCGGTGCTCCCAGGCGAACAAAGTGTCACCAAAACTTAACCCCTTGTTTGGGCCGCATTTTTAGGATGTAATGTATTTTGGAATAGTGATTTTTTGGAGAACGTGTGGTTCAAAAATAAGGAAATTTTTTGGGTTTACGTGTAAAAATTTTTTATTGGAGAATGTGTGGTAGAAAATGAGTTTTGAAAAAATGAGTATTTGGAAAAATGGGGGCCAAACATAGGCTAAGTGTCAATGCATTTTGATTTGTAATGTAACCAGTACATAGCATATCCATCTTTCAATCTGACTGAAAAAGAAAGAAAATTACTTTTCTTGTGTTAAAGGTGAAGGCTGTCAGTCTCCCTAGCCTTTGTCAGAAAATTGTGTATAGTGAGTGAATGCTAAATGCAGCACTGTTGTTTGGGCCCCAATTTTAGGATATAATGTATTTTGGAATAGTGATTTTTTGGAGAACGCGTAGTTAAAAAATAAGGAAAATTTTTGGGTTTACGTGTAAAATTATTTTATTGGAGAATGTGTGGTAGAAAATGAGTTTTGAAAAAATGAGTATTTGGAAAAATGGAGGTCAAACATAGGCTAAGTTTCAATGCATTTGGATTTGTAATGTGACCAGTACATAGCATATCCATCTTTCAATCTGACTGAAAAAGAAAGAAGATTGCTTTTCTTGTGTTAAAGGTGAAGGCTGTCAGTCTCCCTAGCCTTTGTCAGAAAATTGTGTATAGTGAGTGAATGCTAAATGCAGCTCTGTTGAGGCAGGTGGAAGAAAAGATTCGAAGGCAAAGATTTTCACATTGAGAAGATAAGTATGCTGAGAGTATGTGGAAGATGAATGGATTCTTTACTTCTGTGGTTTACCTATATAACATTTGCTCCTAATTGGCCTAGATATAATGAAAATGATATGGAAGTAAGATGAAACATATGAGAAGACATACAGAGTTCTGTGTTTATAAATGATTTGTATGACGTGTTGTTTCCTCTGGGAAAATGAAGGCATTATCTGGGACTCTCTGAGATATGAGGTTGAGGCTAATGATTGGTGAAGAAATGTGGGAACATTAAAAGACAAATTAATGGCATGAATAATCACAAAATTTTAGTGAAGAAGTTGGAGTGCACCCTCATTATTTTTACAGCCTAATATTATATATTTCTTTTTTAATATTAGGAATGTTTACTTATTCCGTTTCCTCTGTGGAAGGTCATTTGCCTGTTTGTGTAATCTTCATAGTGTATGTTTGTGAAGGTGTAGTAATTATGGTAGAGTGAAGTTTCTGTAAACTGATTTGAGGAATTGGGCTGTCAATTAGCGAGCTTTTTGAGTTACATATGACAGCTAATGCTGCAACTATCACACCTCTGTGTTGTGGTTTACAAGGGACTGACTTTTCACTTCATCAAGATATCATCTACCTTTAAAGGTTGTAAAATAATCATAATATTATCGGAAACCTAGAAAAGTAGCATATTTCAGGAAAAAGATATGGATGCACCTCATGTAATTATGGACCTGTGTTTGATGGTATGTGGGACTTGTTGCAGTGGTGAGAATTTGTTCTATTACTTGGTCACTATACAATTAAGATGCTTACCAGTCTGTATTTATCAAGACCACAGTGTGTTACTGCTCATTCTACCTACTTTGAAAGGCCTGTCTTTTTACCATCTTTTGTTTATTATTCGTGGATCAATCCAGAGTATACGCTGAAACCAGAGTACTATTGGTTGCTGCAGATATTTGGTTATTGGTTGATTCTCCTGTATAAATAAGTGTTAGGCTTTGGTAGTTATTGCCCTTCTTTGCTGCGAATTTTGATACCATTCCTCAGAGGGTAGTAGTAAGAAACTGTGCTGTGCATCAATCACTAAATCTATGTCGGCTGTTGGAGTTCCTACACTTCTGGCCTGAAAAAGGGACCAAAAATTGTCTATAGCATTTATCAATGACTTGTAGACCTAATGCCATGTGTATTGGTGCAATGTTAGTTAATAAATTCCATTTTTACTGGCATTTGATTTAATCTTCAAGGGACTTAACATGCATCACAAGTGACGTAATGCTTGATGTTTTATAATTGACACAATAAGAAAAGTAAAAATGCTATTTTTTTTAATTCATTATTTAACTTCTCTTAAATTGTATTTACAGATTCATCTGCTGCACAGAATTTGAGAGAGGTATGCCAGGGAACTGAGATGATGATTAAAATTATTATAATGTGCTTGGGATGTTTGTACATGTGGATATGTTATAGGCTGATCAAACTTCGTGCTTTTCCCCTTGCTTAATATTCAGGTGAAGGAGTCGGCAGAATTCCGAGTGGTTTCATATCCGTCTCCTGTAAAGCTCTCCTCTTCAGCACCTTCAGTTTCATCTCTTTCAACATCTCCTTTATCATCCCACAGTCACCTGCGTCATCCAAACCCAACTCCTTCAAGGTGTCATCACCTTTCCCCTGGACACCAACTATTACGACAAGTGTCAGATAGTCGGATTCCAGTATATAAGTCACCGACGTTATCAATATCTGACGAGGAGTCATCCTATGTGCTCCCTGCTTTGTGCAATGATTCGACAAGGGGATCTAACCGGGAGTCTTCAGATAGTTGGCCAATTCCTGCCTTCTCTGAGCTCATGGCAACTCGTAGAGAGAGGTGGTCATTTGATAGTGAATTATCGGGCTCCAATCGTGACAAAATAACAAAGTCAAACGGACGAAATTCAGCATCTCTTTCTTTTGATCTCCGAACTTGTGGCGTTTGTGGGAAGCCTTTAACTCAGAGATCTTCATTGTTCAGCCAAGAACTTGCTGCTGTTGCAGTTTTAGTTTGTGGGCACGTGTATCATGCTGAGTGCCTAGAGAATATGACATTGGAAGCTGACAAATATGATCCAGGTTGTCCAGTCTGTATTTTTGGGGAAAAGAGGGCTTTGAAGATGTCTGGAAAGGCATTGAGAGCTGAAATGGATTTGAAAATCAGAAAGCGATCCAGGCATCGCGTTGTCAATAGTGATCTCAGTGGTGATCTCGTGAGGTTTGATAATCAGAAAAACATTAGGCTGGAAGGAAGGGGTGCCAAATTGAGCTCAAGTTCCAGCATGAAGAGCTCTTTAGGAATGCCTTTCTTGAAACGGCACTTCTCATTTGGGTCCAAGGGGAGTATATCCTTGGCGGAGAATCATTCTTCACGAAGAAGGGGGTTTTTCTGGGCGAAATAGTGAGGATTGATCTTCCTTATGGATGGATCTAAGAGGTAAGTCTCATCTTCATGTAAGTAAGAACTAAAGAAAAATATTCTTAGGGAAGTTTGTAGTTATTGTTGTCATATGAGTCCAATCAATTTTTTCTAGCCATCGGGTCCCCAAACTTCTGTTTTCAGTGCACTTTGGTACACTGGATTGAAACCTTCAATTTTCCGTCGAAAAGTGGTGTACTATGCATGTATGAGTTATTTGAGATATATTATAATCCAATACACACCATTATCTTCAAAAAGAGGGAAAATAAAAGATTTGAAGACCTAGACATCAACACTCTATTTCTCTATTTTTTAAAATTATTTTTGAGGGAAATGAGGTGGGTTGTCGGAAATAACCTTCAGACAAGGCAACGCGTGCAAGGCGACAGGTCAACTGAAAAATTAATATTTCCATCTAAAGGGAACAAACATGCACTACAGCACTAGAAATGAGACCTTTGGACTTGAAGGCCTGAAAGAATTGATTCGTGACTCATGTAATTTATTTGTGGACGTTTGAGAACTGCGGCTGTAAAATTCCTGGGTCTTTATTATTTTTTGCAGAATTTAAGAGTTCTATCGTAGTTTGATGTTCCACATTTTAGCATCCACAGATTCAACGAGCACGTCATTCTCTGCTTCTAGGATTCAACGGAGTAGTAAGCCCAATCTGGCTCACTGGAGGAAGCAGGAATAGNCATTTTTGCATCCACAGATTCCACGAGCACGTCATTCTCTGCTACTAGGATTCAACGGAGTAGTAAGCCCAATCTGGCTCCCTGGAGGAAGCAGGATTAGTTCATCAGCATTTTCCCGAGGAACAATGGTGTCATCTGCAGGAATAGGGTTAGCTAAGGTACACACTGTATGTAAGGTGCATAATTTAAATCTAAATTTCATTTTATTCTATAGAAAAAGAAAATTAGTTGAAGAATATCGATTGTGAGACTGATTCTCTTTTGTTCGGTATATTGAAATTCAGTTGTTTTCTGTTTCAAGTGCATGATATAATTTTGGAAGACCTATCTATGTATATGGACGTCTAAGAAGTTTATAGTTCTGTCCCTTTTTTTGCACACTGTTCCCATTGCCATTTTCAGTGCCCTGTGCCTTGCTAATGGAAACTGAAACACACAGCTCTAAATTGACCAACTTAACTATTTGAGCATTCCTTTTTCTTTTTTTGAATTTTAATTTTAGCATTTTTTATTATTT